GGATTACTGACACAGCTCCAAAGCGGTTTTGATTTCAGTTTAAGCATGTGCTCTATGTATCTAAAAAACTGCTCAGTTGCTATAGATCTACTAAATCATCATTCAAATAATATCCTCAAATGGTAAATGTAATGGTTGTTACATCAATAGCACTAACTTGAAAGCCTCAGTCACAGTTTTTTTCAAAGTCTTAAAATACTGCTGTACTTAGTTTTTAGGTATATTTGATTACAATATCACTATTTAAATCTTAGATTCCTTTAAGTTTAAGGACAATCCAAAGTATTTTTTATTCCAAATTAAAATTAATTAGTACTTTCATGTTTTACTAGAAAGAAAAAAAAAAAAGAGTTTGAAAAGTTAGGTATTTTCTGTGGGTAGAAAATGGGGTCACTTGTGTAAATATTGAGATTGGGCTAGTGGAAATTTCAAGGAAGTTTGCCATACTAAGGAAAGGCAAAATCTTTCAAATGCAGTCAATCAAAAAAGACTGCACAAATATAACTCCCTAGAAAGGCATTTATCCTAATTAATATGATAAACCAATAGTTAGTCACCTACTTAAATGACAGCTGCAAATCAAAATGGGACTTGCCAATTCTCTCATAGAATCAGCTATGACCACCCATGAAAACTTCACTCTTTCATCTCCTTTACAAGTGGAAGGACTGACAGACGGCCACAGCTATTCCAGCCAACCATAGCATCCTCAAAGCTTGCTGCCAGGACTGGCTGCCATCCGCTGCCCAACATGATCAGGCAGTAAGTACGTCTATAAACCTATTAAAACAGCATAAATGTTATAACTTGCAATCTATTAAAATCAAAATAAACAGGAAAGGAGGTCTGAGAGCCAGTTTCTTCAGAGCAAAATGTAACGCTAATTATGAGGTTTTCAAATATGCCAGCTTTTTTGGGGGTGGGCAAGACTTAGGGTTGAGCCATTAAAAAGCCAGTTGGTAGTATTAAACTCTTGCTTTAGGATTTATAAGAAGGCCAAAAATTCACTCCAGGCTGAAATTTACTATCCCAGGCCTGGAATCGTTTAAAAAAGAGAAAAAAAGTTGTCATAAATATGGAAGAAAAAACAAACAAACACAAACCAGTGGTTTCAGATGATTTTTGGCACTCCTTCAATGCAAAAGTGGCTTTTTTTTTTTTTAAGTCTGAGACTCATTACTATGAATTACTTTTGTAAGTAAAATTGAGACCAGGTTATTTTAATAATGAATTACCAATAAGTTACTATCACTGAATCTTTTTTAAAGCTTTTCAGTATGAAGAGATATCATAGTTTTCAAAGGAATATCAATGCTCTGACTTACACTCAAAAGCCAGGAAGTTAGGGTGGAAATCTCATCTGCAAGCCACACAGATGTATGAAAACATTTAAAAAATTAACAGCGTATGTTAAAGATGCAATGTCAGCCCCATTTTTATCCATAACTAGATTTCATTAGTTTTGTGGGGTTAAAATTGACATTTAAAAATAAAGGCAACATAAGTTTTTGTGACTTAATTCAGCAGTCCTTAAATAAAGAGATATTTCAATGTTTGCAGACTGTTAACATCTTTCCAAAATAAGCTATATGCTGGTGCTACTTAGCTGTATTTCCCTATCACCCTAAGGAGTCTGTATTGCTGATGGAAGCCATTTCTTTTGCTAAATCCTGCCTGCAAACTCTAACAAGAGCATTTAAGCCTACTAAACAAAGTCTCCTGGGAGACGCTATTGTTAAAACAAAAACTGGAACAAATTTTTAAAGTGAACTTTCTGCAATCATTAGAGGATGCAGGTCTCAAGAAGAAGAGAAAACTTGTTATAGGAGAGGGAACAAAAAGCCAAATGTAAGCAGAGAGCACATGCCAGTCGCCCCTGAGGGAACAGAGGGGAGCTATAGAAAATTAACTGCTGCATTTCTACTTCCCACCAAAACCACGAACGGGCCGTTTCAGGAGACTAACACATACAGAGTCTGCAGATAAATACATGTCTACCTCATTACCCGAGAAGAGCCTTAAAGAGCACACTTCTTTGCTGAATATTTCTGCTTCTATGTGAATAATCTCATTTATGCAGATGAAGGTGCTATACATACGCATGCAACATTTGCAGCATGTATGTGTGTCAGCTTGGAAGCTGCTCAGCTCTGTCTGCGAATTTGGCCCGTAGTCTTTTGGCACGGATTTTTACTGCAAAACTTAACAGACATTCTCTGCAGCCAAACCACCTCGAACTGTTTCTTACCAAATTTCACAAGCTAAGTGGGTTCCAGTCTGGTCAATACATGGATGAGAGACCATTATATGAAATTATGCTTTGCTGAAAAATGACAACAGTAGCTTAACGACATCAGGAAATGGTGAGACTTAGCTGTAAGGATGAGCACAGAGGTGACTGGGATTCAGGTAGCTGCTGGCTTCACCCAAGACTGCCACACCTAGCAAATCCAAGGCAAGCAGCATACCTAAAGGGAGGACACTACATGGAAAATGGGACGCAAAAGACTAGTGAGGTTCCTGCTTTCTACCTCGAACGAGAATGGCAAACAGCCATATAGGACAGACACTCTCTGCTGAGGGACATGCATATTTGTATGCCACCTCACCACCTCTAAGATGTGCTTTCTCTCTGGCATCTAAAATGGCACCATCTTGGAGTTACACCTTGTGCAGTAAGAGCAATGCCAGGCACACTGCTGAGGTTTGGTACCCTAACAAAGTATCAAACAACTGAGATGGGAGACAATAAAAGAGAAACTGCCATTCTGAATGTTTCATTAATAAATTAGGTCAAAGCAATCCATTTTATTTTTGACAAAGTATAGGTCTAAAGGAGGATGAAGACAATGATTACATTTGGATTGTAGCAAATAATGTCAACTCAGATGACGTTCTTACAGAGAACCTAAGGAAAAACAGTCTCTTTATTTTCTGAAGTTACCACAACATACATGTTTACCTGTATTCAAAGATGAGTTAACAAGAGTTTGCTCCGAGTACAAATGAAACAGGATCGCACGGAAGGAATACAGCAATATTCTTCATTCTCACTGGATGCAGTGGAGGGTATGCCTGTAGGGCTTGAAAGCTGTGTAGGCACTGCAAGGCTGAAATGCAGGACGATTTACATGCTCTAAATTGTTTCCCTGAAACAGATCTTGCCTTACTATCCTTGGATTTATCACCTTGCTAGTCAACTGCCATATATACTTGCACTTGAGGGAAGAAGATTCACCTCAGCCAATAACAGACATGTGAGTGCCTATCTAAAATTAGTCTGCTGGGCTGCCTCCGCAGGCACTGCACCGACAGAAACTCAGCTGTGCAGGAGCACCTCATCTATGTAACTTATAACCATTGCGGAGAACAAAATCCTATGCCAAGCAAACACTGCAAAAAATTCTACAGTTATCAGAAAAATCTCAATGCTTATTTTAGGTCCAGAAAAACTTTTGAGACAACAAAACCAGAAGTTCTGGGGTGAGGCTGCTGAAATGCAACTCAGTTGATAGTTAATAATGAAAAAAAAAAAAAATCTTCAAGAAAGAATAGATGGGTTTTGCTACCAGGCTATTACAAACCCTAACCTTGGAACAGGGGTCCAATGGGGAACTTGGAACAGAGGGTGCAGAAAGTGGAAGCTGGTATTATTTATAAGCTGGCAGGCAGGACTCCCAGAAACTCAGCCAAAACAAGCTCCTTCTCCTAGCTACAGGTAAAACAACATTCTGAGTAGCTTAAAAAGTTTGCAAAATATATAAATAATAAAAGTATTTCAGTAGACAGATATTGGCTTTTTTCTTTAGTATCTGATGGAACATGTTTCAAACATTGCTAACCAATGTTCCTGACATGTGCAAAGTTATACTACCTGAACACATCATGAATTAGCCTTTCCAGGAGGAGCTGTACAAACAAAAGAAAGGAGAAATTCCTTGACATCTTTAGGATGCCAAGGAAATTAATCAGTTGTTTCAAATAGGAGATAATTAAGAAAATCTTTCTTCTAAAATTTTCTGCATTACATTAGGACTTTATCATGTAGCTGTTCTCAACATGCTTCCTTTTTTCGCATCCAGTGACACACCGAGCAACCAATTTGTTTGAGAACTTCCAGACAGATGGTTGCAAGGACTGCTACAACTTTTTCCTTTAACCATCAATACTAAAGCATTAAACAGCTTACATAAAATACACAGCATAGCAGTTTATCAAAGCAGGGATACTCATGTGATTTCCTATTAAGGAGAATATGTTACGCCTATTTATTACAGAACAGAGTAGGTGTATTATATGCATTTAGCTTTTTAGAAGGAAATATTGGCATTTAATCTGAAGTGTATCAGAATTATCTGACAAGATATCTACCTAACGTAAACCAGCCTGACCTGGGCCAAGAGATCTGGTTCAGCACAGCAAGCAATTTTCAGTTTCTCTGATCAGTGCAAAAAAATTCCCAGGAATTTTATACCTGGGAAAACCACTGGAATACTTGTTTTTTAAGAAAATACATATTACTTTTTTCATACATTACTTATTTGAACATAGTTTCCTAATGAAGGTCATGCCTATGTGATAACAGCAGCTGAACATTCCTCCCCGTCCACTCATTTAGCTATGAATTCAACCCCCCTAAAAAAAAAAAAAAAAAAAAAAAAAAAGAGGAAAGGGGCCAGGGGGAAGTTCCCAACCACTTTTATTTTAAATTGGCACTGTACCATGTGCAGAGCTCTCCTACTGATACATCAGGGGTATTTTGCACATTAGTTTCTCTAATGTTAGTTTCTCTATGTAAAGTGTCCTTCTCTGCTTTAGCAAAGAGTTTGGAAACAAATACCCAAGCATATTTTAGAGATTGCAAATAAAAGAGCCCAAAGCTTTTCTGCTTTCTTTTTAGGCGTTCTTCTTCCCAATGCCTCAGTATGTCTATTGTTCTCCAAAAGCCATGTAGCAAAATTACTAGTTTATTTGGGATAAACCAAACAGCAGGTGCTTACCTGTAGGAGTACTACTGCGAAATGAAGAGGAGGGAGTGATTGGAGGGGTGACCGGAGGAGTAAGGCTTCCACTCCCGTGGCGAGGTGGAGTAGATACATTCCCACGGGACACTGTGCTTGACAAAGTCAAAGAGAGTTTTGGCTGAATCTTTTTCTTCAAAGACTCCTGCTCACGTCGAGCTGCATCAGTCATAAATCTAGAACAAGGACAATCATGAGGATGAGAGGCTTGAAACACTGCCTGCAAGTAAGCTTTAGGTAAAGATAAAGTATTTTTTGCTGTAGGTGACCAAATGGAGCTTTAAACTCAGCCGTGACAAGTTCCTCCGTAACAGATTTCAAGAATACAAACCTCTCCATCAAAAGCTTTATTCCTGTCTTCAAGATCTGGGCCATTTCCTTCTGGTTTTGATAGAATTTATCTTAGAAATTTGCATCACGTGCAAACACACAGTTTTTTTTAAATTCCAAGCAGAGATCAGCACTGCACATATTATTATAATAACTATACTCAATCCTTTACAATAACTACACTCATTCCTCCTGTGAAAAAGTAGCTGAGTAGCTATAACAGAGAAAAATATTAGGGGCAAATGTATTGAATCTGGAGGTCAAAGGAATAGTATGAATTAGATTGTGTAGATACATCATTTCCAACTTAGGATAATCACATCCTTTTTCTAAAGGATTTAGACAATGTTGCTTGACATAAAAAATGTCCAGTTAAATTGCAATTCCTCAAAATGGAGTTCCCAGCTCTTGAAAACCAAATGAGGTTTCTCTGTACAGCTTTGGTACATGCTGCTGAAGGCCTAATGCAACTCAAGGTTCACCTCTGATGCTGAGAGGGAATTCCACCAGCACAATGCAAGGTGTGCACTAGCAGTGCAGTAATTTCAGCAGTGCAACTTTTTGCATGGGATGTCTTACCTGGAAGAAAAATATTTTTTTCACTTTTATTCTGATTCCTTCCAAAAAAGAGCAACAGCAACACAGACTTCACGCACTTAGCATTCAAACAGTATTTTAATCCTTTGTCTTTCCCCTCTAGCACATAAGGAGCCATCTTGAAGGATTCCTAAGAAGACAGGCTAAAATAAATCACCTTGTCCATACAGCCCTCTGTCCTTCACGCTAAAGTACAAACTATACCTGTCAGTAAATAAAACAATACGCACTAGCATGTGATAAAGAGTAAGAAGTTAAGTTATACCCAGACATTTGTATGACCAGGTTATACAGAGTAAACCAGGTTTCCGCCAAGACACAAGCTTTACATAATGAGCTCTTGCAACCTTGGCAAACCATGAAGGGCGCATTCAGAGGTGAGAACGTAGTGCAGCTGGTATGCTGCCCTCACCTCGGAGCCAGCTGTCACCCAGAAACTCACATTTGCAATCCAGTAAGGAAATAGAATGACAAAAATTACCAACAATTATTTGTATTGGACTAAGCATGGGTGACCTGGCTTTCTTTCAATAGTCACACTCTCCCAGAGGAGCCTAGGAAAGAGAATGAGGTAGACTTGGGGATCGAAGCAGGCCCAGAGAACAAATCTGTGGAGAAAATAATGAAGCTGGTGAGCTGTTGTATTGGGTGTAGGTGGCAAGGTTTTGGTAGCGGAGGGGGCTACCGGGCAAGAAGAGGTCAGGGCCTGCCTTATGCCAGCCACAGCTGGTTTCAGCCAGCTCTGCAATGGACCCACATGACACAGCTGAGCCCTGATGGTGGCACCTCAATGAAAACATATTTAAGGAGTGGTAGAAAATGCTGGAGGGAGAGAGGAGGAAGAGGGAACAGGGGAGGAAACAACAGAGAGAATAGCAAGGTCAGAGGAGTAGGAGGTGCTGCACGGTGGAGAGCAGGTACACCCCCAGGGGCACTGCAGCCTGTGGGTGACCAACATCAGAGCACAGGATGAGAGTGACAAACAAGGGGTGGCAGAGAGAAACTGCTACAACCTGACACCAACCCGTGCACCACTTGTTGCCTCACCAAAGGAACTGAGTATGGCCTTAGTGGTCACAGGGGAGGAGAGATGTCTGGGGTAAAATGTGCCTGGGAGTGAAGGCGAGCCTGAGAAAGGGGGCTTTTTTTTACCCTTTAGTGTTTTAAGAGTTTTTCTTTTGTTTCTCAGTAACCAATACCAGAATCAGTAATTAAATATTTATGCTAGTTGGAAATAAGTTAAATTCCCCCATTCGAGTCTGTTTTGCCCATGACAGTACTTGGTAAGTAATTACCTTTATTTCAGCCCATGAGTTCCTTATCATATGAGAAGACATGGAAACAACTCTTGACATACATCCAAGAATCCAACAGAGGACTGGGAGATCTACCTTTTGCTCCCAAGGAAGAGCAGCAGACCCTGAGGAAAGGGAGGCGGAGGGAATACTGCCACACCAATCATCTGGTTCAGAGTTTATATCCTGCCATTGGATCAGGTCACAGGCTGGCTGGACAAACTGGTTCTGCAGACTGTAGTATCACAACAATTGTACTGAACATGACCATCAGGTCACACTGGGTCTCACAGCAAAACCTAATATCTGCCCGTAGCATCTTCAACATGGTGCTGTAGGACAGTGTAGTTTCGTCTCTGGGCCTCATCCAACAGTTTAAATTAATATGAATCACTATATTCACTTAGGCTCCATAGAAAGCCAACATTTTGTGACTGCTCGCAACATGTGGGTTGTTTGGGTGGAAGCTAGGTAGATTCTACTGACCCTAAGTCCAGACCTGACTGCACTTACAGAGAGACCTCTGAGAAAAAACAGCTCTGAGGAATAGTAAGGGGTGCAAAAAAATGGGGGTTTAGACATCTGTGTGAAATACGGAAGAAAAATTTGGCCTAGATATCAAAAAACCAGCTCTTTTTCAAAAGAGATTTGTGTACTTTAACACAGCCTCAAAACACTGGCATAAAATTTTAAGTACCATTAGAGCAATAAAGATGTATCCTGTCCACCCATACCACAAAGGCATTAATAAGTGGATCTTTGCCATGATACGTAACATCAACACACAATCTGCAGACTTTAATAAACAGGTATATGACATGACAGCTTATCTTCTTTGAACAGAGACAATACATCATGTCAAACCCAGATATGGCATTTTTATGAAGTTAATATTTAAAAAGTAGATATCCATAGTAACAGTTCAGTTTTAAATTTCTCTTCTCTAAACAAGGGTGCAGATATTATTGACAAAGCAGTCCCAAAATAGAAGTCTAAGTTTCATTGAAGAAAAAAAGAAGTAAAAGGATCTTAATAAAATGGGCATTCAGTACACATTGGCTCTCCTCTAACTAGGAAACGTCTAATTCACTATTTTTGGAATTTGTACTATGATGTATGCTTGCTTCTGGATGGGAAGCCTTATTCCTTAAGAAAATGTTATGGCAACATTATAAATCCTTGAAAACTTGGAAGATAACCTCAAGTGTGAGATATTAAAAGCAGCAGCATGAACGCTGCTATTTAATAAACTCAGCCACAAATAACAATGTTAAAATAATATTGAGGTATAACCAGTCTGGTTGAAGTCTATAAAAATCAGGAAAATTTGAAGTTATAGCTGAAACTTCTTCCTGTCCTGTTAACTTGCTTCTATTTGGGCTAAGCATGTTGGGTATGTTCCAAAACGTCATTTGTTGTCTACACTGTGAACCTGAGAGAAGTGGAAGGCAGAGCCTATTAAGTTCAGTTCCTGATATCTCAAGTATGCAATTAACCTTTTCAGATCCACTGGCAGTGCTATGGTTTTTAAATGGAAACTTTTCTAAATGGATTAAAATAAAACATTTTTCAGTATTTTAAGTGAAATACAGTGTTATACTTGTGCCTAACCATGGTGGTATTCTTCAAAGCTTACAATATAAACGTTTGAATGATGGGTATAGAATGACATTTCCAACTAAGGCTTCAATTTTCAAGTTGAAAGTACATTATGGTTGCAACATCAAGAGCTCAGAAATGAAACATGCTGGAATTAAGGTTCAATACTGGTCTCCAAATTACATGATTGCATACAATTTTCCCTGCCTCATTTAAATGCACAAGATGTGTGGGAAACAGAAAATGAACTGTAACTAACAAAGGCTGCTGTGAGATCACTTAGGTTAGATCCCGTCTCCTTGCTTAACAGTCTCTTTCACCATCTTCAGATCCATCTCCTTGCTGAGCAAATCTACCTCCGCTACTTTCTTAACTCCATAACCCTGCCCCTCTATTTCCACCACTACACAGATTTTAGTCATCTTGCAATCCCAGTTGCATAGGATTGTGCTTACACCTCATAAGCCTCTCTCTCCAAATCCAATATACCACGTAGGCGCAGTGGAACAAGGAGAATCATTCAGTTCCCAGCCATTCATTGACCCTGTTTTGACAAGCATAGGGCTTGTGTGCTTTCTTGCAGATGGTTCGTAACGTCAGGGAGGAGCCCATTCCTTAGAAAGAAATCTCTTCTAGCCCCATTTTTTCTTTCCTCACCCTTTCACCTTCGTTGAATTATTATTCAACTCCCTGCTCTAAAACACGTAGGTGCAATGATTTCTGAATCAAGTGCTTGCAGCAACTTTAATAACATGAGCAAAATATAGTAGTTCCCCCTCCTCTCATTCCCTGGAATGGTTCAAGTATTTTTATTGAAACTTTCCCAAGAAATTCAGCCTGAAGGAGACACCCAGCATGGAAAATTTCAGCCCAAACAGCTGAATGTTGGCAACATAATAAGCAACTGAAACAGTCTTATAATGGAAAGTGTTGCACAACCTTCCGTATAGGTGGCAATGTAATACAAACAGCATTAGCTGTTGTTACCAACATTAAAAGTCACCAAAAAAGCAGAGGCAACGTTCAAAATAAAAAAAGCCTTTTCAAATCAAACCTTTGCAACGTTTATAAGTCTCATCACCCTCAAAAGCTTTGGAACCAAGAATGAACAGAAGCAGAATGCACTCTCCCAGAAATTTCCTTAAGCTCTTAGTGTGTACTGACTGTTCCAGGATGATGCCCCAGTATGACTTACATGATGATGCCAGAGTTTATCATAAAACTCTTACTACACACAATTCTAAGACAATTTAAGAGTTCTGGACTCATACACCCAGACTGGGGGTAAGTGCAGTTATAAAAGTGAGTTGCAAATAAACTGAGAATTTTTACTTGAGATCTCACTTGAAAGGGAA